TTACATACAAAGATTAAACAATATCACTATACGTTCAGTTATTACAGGTGCATATCAAAAGTATAGTCAATCTGTAAATTTATCATTGCATCCGAGATTCAATGAAGCTATATACGATACGCCCATTTTCCATTGTTCAACGGTCCCACATAATAATTACGAAACTAGTATCACTACAATAATTCCATATGGACTGTACGATCTAAAAAAGAATTTAAAATAAATCAATTAAAAAACTTAGGTGCTCTATATACATGTACTGAAAACTTCCGATTATATTATTGATTAGTCTAACTAGTAATGAAAATCCGTATGTATCTTCTAGATAGTCAACAATATGATATCTCAAATGACTTATCGTAGCCATCGCGAACGCATGCATGCATATGAAAATAAATGTTTGTTTTGATATGTAATGTAATATAATCCATTTAGATATCGTAGTGGTTAATATACCACAAATGAAATAGATCCAAAATCTTTTTACGATATTATCAGTTTGCATAGAAAGACCTGTAAATAAAATATCATTTTGATAACATGAAAATAATTGGCATGACATGAGTTGGAATTTAGTTCCATTCGACAAATTTGTAGCAACCGTTACGCAAGTGTCTATAAATATTTCTTTTGAAAGTTTGTGTTTCAAAGTTGACTTGAATTTTCTTAATGGAATTTTTGATTTTTTATGTTTTGTGTGTTTTGTGTGTTTTGTGTATGTATATCGTATATCGGGTGTTCTATCACAACATGTTATAGTCAGCATTTTATACTAACCAATATTATAATAAATGATAACGATTACGTATACTTCTCATATTGGGATATTTCCCAGATTCCGATATGGTTGACCAATTGTTTACCAATACACCGGTGTTGGCCGGATGTATCAGATGAGTCTTTATCGTTCGATAATTTTGAATATTCATATTCTTTTTACCTATTTTTAGTAGAAGTTTATTAAAATAGGTTTTGAGATTAACACTATTTCTTTTAATTCGTGTATCTGCACGATGAACTTGTAAGAGAGTTAATATATTATATATATCATCCATAGAACTGAATATTCGTGTTAATTTTTGTCTAGAATTTAAAAGTGGGTTCGTTGTCGTTCGTTTTGGTCTCAAATTGATATTACAAATTGTGGAATATAAACCTTTAGATGAACCATTTGCTCGTTTGTATCCAGCATTATAATTTAGTGGTTGATTCTTTTTTGTTGAGCCGATGCCAAATATGGCAAGCTCATAGTTTTGAATTTGATTCATTGTTTTCAATTGTTCAGCTTCAATGATGGCTTTAGTGTTGCAATTGATTGGAAACCTTTTTAATGTTGACGATTGGTTTATACCAAGAAGAGATATAAATGCGAACATACCTAAATCATGTTCATATTCAATCGTGCGTATGTTTTGAATTCTTTGAAATCGCGTTTTTATTTCCATATTCAGATCATCAAACATTTTACCATATTGCGAGGATAACATGTAAAATTGAGTGCGTTTTTTATTAGGATGTATATTATGTCCTTTTATAGTTTCAGAATTATTTAATAAAGTTGTGTTTTGATTACTAAACTCAATGTCATTAGAACTATTCAGAAATTCTAACATGGCTATGAAAAAAGTGATTGCAAGATTTCCAGAAGCGATAGTTGTTTCATTCGTCGATTGATTTTTAAATTGAGTTTTGTAATACCTCCAACGAGACAGTGTTTTTTGTATCAAAGAATCTATACATTTTTTTACAAACAAATCACTTTTCGATTTCAGTTTTACATTATTACTTACAGGTATACCCAAGTTGATACCGATGTAACATCTATTGGCAAATTGATCAAAATACGTACCTTTATAAATATATAAAAATAGAATATGTTGGTTTGTTTTGCCCAAAGGATGAAATCCAGAATCTAAATATAAATCGATCGTTTCACGATCATTGATAGATACTTCAGATAATATGTTCTTTTTTGCCTTGAAGACATACTTTTTGATTTCGTTTGAGGTGTTTGAATTGACCAAGGATATCATAATATACGATGATGGAATGTATACATTGTATTTTAAACGAAGAGATTTTGACAAATTATTACTTGAATTATTTCGAATTACTTGTAATTCGCTATTTATATTAAATCGTTTTAACATGCGTCCAATTCGGTTTTTCAATAATGCATTGTTTGCATTTTTAAAAACTGTATGTCTTTTTAGAAGGTGTAAAGAATTGTTACCATGACGCATTGCATGATTGAATAGTAATCGTTCATTGTTATTGTTATTATTTTCACGATTATTATTATTTTTTACGATGACGTTATTATGCATAAATTGTCTAGCACGTTTTGTCAATTCGGCCCCTTCAGGATCAGAATACCCTTGATAATTAAAGGGAATATGCGATTGTGCTACTGTAGCTGTTTGTGTTCTTAATTGCGATGTCGAATTGATAATCGGTAAACATGAACCGATTACATAAATTCCTTTTCCATATGTTTTTATCAGTTCCGATAATTTATAATATCCCATATGCCGAGACTCTTGATTATTTTTTGTAAGTAAACTATACTTATTTCTCATGGCGGTGCATCCGCTGCTTGTTTGAAAATCCGGTTTTAATGGAAGTTTATACACACCCATTTCCGCTGTGAAAGTGGTTTGAGAAAAAGTGAATGTAACATCAATATATTTTTGACCTGGGAAACGAAATGGAGTTTTAACAGAACCTGGTATCATTTGATTTATTCCTTTATAAACTTCATTCGGTAATTTCAATGTTAAAAAATTATCAGCATACTTGTTTTGTAAAATCGATTGTATCCATACATCCATACTATTTCCTGCAAGGACATAACCGGGTACACTAATATAGACGATTATAGTATCGTCTGGAACTATTTTGAAATTTTCTATATTTTTCTTTTGAATAGAACCATGTGTCAATATGAAATGCCCTTTATGTTTGTTCCATATATTAGTCGCAATCGCTTCTTTGTTTGTGCCATATATCGTTGTCATTTTTTGTTATTATTATTAATATTATTTAAAATATATTGGCAATGTCTCAAACAATATGCAAACGAAGCTCCAGAGTGACCATCTGCTTCAACCATATCAGAAATTTTAATGATAGACGGATCGTTACAAAACATAAAGCCTGTTTGATTATCATTAAAATTTCTGACAAACTCGATAAGTTCCGTATCACTGTTTATCACTTCCAGCATATTATCAATCGCCTTTTCCATCATTTTACTAAACGAATCACTCATATATACTATAATGCATAAATGTTTCTAAGATGGTATGATAATATTAGGTGATCAGGTTTTCAAAATCTTTTTTAGCATCTTTAAAACCGGCTCCTTCAGGAGCATAACGAGTTTCTAATATATTGGTATATATTCTCAAAAATACTTGGATAATGAAAACGACGGTTTTGAAACTCGTTTTAGGTATTCTTTCCAAACGAATGGATGAACGTTTGATTAGATCATTTTTACCGAATACATGATACCCCGTGCAGCTTCCCATACTAGATATTCCACCATTCTTATCAAATTCATCTTTGATTACACCCCGAATCTTTGATTCGGATCGTTTATATTTCTTTGAAAGAATAATCCATACATCCTCAATGATCGCGTCTTCTGGTGGACAAGGATATTGAGAATAATAGTCCATCATTTTGGAATTGATATTCACACCTATAGAAGTCTTTAAGTAGTTTAATAACAAATACACTATTGAAATCGTTTATTCAAAGTTCTTTAATTTGAAAGGCGTTTGGATCAAGAGAGATATTTGAATTCAAAATGCAATCGTGACATACATATAAATGATTGTTTATATCGAGATTCCATAAATCAAAATATGTAACGCCTTCGTTTTGAATATAATGAAAATCCGTGTATGAGTATATTGATGCTTTTTCTTTTGATTGAACACCTCCGTAGTCGTCTATGAAAACGTATTTGAAAAGACTAGGATATATTTGTTTACAATTATGTAATGTCGTGTATTCTATAGCAAGATCGCATTGTAAACAAATCGAAATATTTTTTTTACAGTGCAAACAACTGTACTTGTAAAAAACATCACACGATTTGCAAATACGACATTTATTATATTGTAACATCGATTTCAAGTTTCCCATTATGTTATGTTACATCTTTTTGTATTTCGTTTTACACCTTTTGAAATTTGACAATAATGCATCATCACGTTTATCGACGATTGTTTCGGCAACTAAAAAATAGAAACAATTTTCTGCGATGTCTCTTGCTAGTATATTGACATATGTATTATCAAAATTGTCATAAATGTCAGTCGTTTTCAATGTTTTATTTAGACGTTTCCATTTCTTTTTACACGTTATGTGATCAATCGTATTTAATTTATAGTATCTTTTGTTCTCCTTTTTTTTATAAAAAGCAAAAAAACCGTTTAAAATTGTCATTATACCTAAATAATCATCAAATCCATAAATTATATTTCCGTTTAACTTCTTCAGTGATTTCCAAAGATGTGGGTAACGCTACATATTTACGACCGTTCAGATCTGCATAACCGGATGCTACGAGTTTATATGTGGTGATTTCTTTAACTTGACTTGTATCAATTTGGTAATTGAAAGTGTTCTTGTCATTATTTAAAGCTGAAAGTTGATGTCTATAAAATTTATTATAATACGTAGACATTTATTATAAGAATACATATTTTCTTAAAATGTAGTCTTATTATCCGAATCGCAAAAAATCTGCAAACGTTTAAACCTTTTTTTTACAGTATTTGCAGTGTTACATAAATTACAATGATCGTCTACGCATACTTCTGATCTAGAATATGAACCACCAAATTTGATTAAAAATTATACAATAAACGGAACATGTGTCGATTGTATAAGTTAATGTTTCTCTCCCACCAGGGTTCGAACCTGGGACCTTACGGTTAACAGCCGTACGCTCTAACCAACTGAGCTATAAGAGACCATCATTATTGTGCTGATACCAGGACTCGAACCTGGGACCTTTGGTTTACAAGACCAACGCTCTACCAATTGAGCTACACCAGCTACTACATTAAAGTCCTAACTGGGGATCGAACCCAGACGGTGGGCTTAGAAGGCCCAAATGCTATCCATTACATCATTAGGACACACGATGACAGTAGGATTTGAACCTACGCGGGTCATGCCCATTTGCTTAGCAGGCAAACGCCTTAACCACTCGGCCATATCATCGGTATTCTTTTGTCGACAACAGTAGGAATTGAACCTACGCGGGTTGTACCCATTAGATTTCAAGTCTAACTCCTTAACCACTCGGACATATTGTCGATTTTTTTTTTTACACCTGACCCTAAATCTCTCCCACCAGGGTTCGAACCTGGGACCTTACGGTTAACAGCCGTACGCTCTAACCAACTGAGCTATAAGAGAATCGGAATGTCTCGTCAACCGGAATCGAACCAGTGACCTGGGGATATCGATATATATATAATACTACAGTCCCTCGCTCTACCAACTGAGCTATGGCGAGCATTGTTTTGAATGTTTTAATTCTTTCCAGAAATGTTCCTAGAGGGGCTCGAACCCACGACCTTCGGCTCATAAGACCAACGCTCTAACCAACTGAGCTATAGGAACCAATGCGGAGAACGGGGTTCGAACCCGTGCGTACTATGTACAGTAGATCTTAAGTCTACCCCCTTGGACCAACTCGGGCATCTCCGCTTATAATATATCCATATATGTTATCTTTAAGTCACTTAATATTCGAATAAGAAATAATAAATTGACTCTTATTGATTTTATAAATTATACATATAAAGTATATTATGAATTCAAACGCCACTTTTGGAAAGTTAAAGAAGTATGACGAAACAATTATCATTATGTTAATTTCTGCAGCCTTCATAACATTTTCAAAATCAATTCAAGATCACTTTTTGAATCCTATTATCAATAATATTATAATGTTTCAAGAAACTAACAAAAAAGATAAGAGCATAAATGGCAGTCAGTTACTTCGTTCGATCGTTACATTATGTATATACATTGTATTCATATTTATACTTTACCAATTATTAAAACGATTCAAATATAAATAAATCGAGTATGTTTTGCACCAATAAATGTTTCATGTATGATACATATATAATTGTTATGAATTTTTACAGAATATTCATTATATTCCATTACTGTAATTAATTACAATTTCTTTAAATCATTATCTACTTTTTCTTTACATATAATAAAGGATGGTTCTGAATGGAGCAAAGAGTATTGCAAAAGGTTATGGTAAAGTTCGAAGTTATTCGAATCTCGCTTCAGGAATATGTGTATCAATTATATTATTTATTATTGCATATTATCTTTCGTCTCAAAATGTCTTATTAACAAAAAATACGATGGCCGTGTATAAAAAAGATTGTGATTCGTCATTCGTATCGGACATTGATATTGGTTCGGGATCTTCTACTGGGTCATCCGTAGGATCGTCTTCCATGTCTTCTATCGGGTCATCCATAGAATCGTCTTCCATGTCTTCTATCGGGTCATCCGTAGGATCGTCTTCCATGTCTTCTATCGGGTCATCCATAGAATCGTCTTCCATGTCTTCTATCGGGTCATCCGTAGGATCGTCTTCCATGTCTTCTACCGGGTCATCTACAATCGAAAAGTATTGCAACGAGGTTCATTATCTAGAATATGTTGTGAATGATAAAACATATAAAACAAAATACACGTTACCAAAAAATAAAGATAACCCAAGACACGTAGGAGAGACATTGGATATACGATACAATCCGAACGATCCATCGCATATCACTCACAATATGATTTCAAAGAATACAACTGGTCAAATATTATATGCGATTGGTTTTTTTGTTTTAATAGGAACGATTGCTCAATTTATATTTTGTCAACAGTTTCCAACTGCATGCGGTATCGGGTACATCGCTTCCAATGTTTCAAGTGCGATTGGTGGTAGAGGAAAACGACCAAGTAGTCAAGGGTCTTTGATCGATATTAAACTTTAAAAGAATACAATGACAATATATATTTTACAAATTCACTTCTTTTCACATCTTTAATTGTAAACTGTTCGATATGATAGTAATCGTTTTTGTTATCACATTTCTCTAATCGGTACAACAGATCTTCCAAACCATTTTCAGATATATCACACTGATCCAAATCTCCGGTCATCACCAGTTTGCTGTTTTCATCTAAACGAGACAATAATGTTTTAATTTGATTCACGGATGCGTTTTGCATCTCATCCGCAATAATGTATGATTTTCTAAATGTTCGTCCTCGCATATACGCGAATGGACATATTTCTAACTGTTGTTTTTCAATCAAATTTTGTAAATCCTTTTTATCCATTTCTTCTAAAAAAATGTCATATATTGGATACATCCATGGTTCCATTTTATCTTTCAAACTTCCAGGTAAAAATCCAATTTGTTCATTGTCTATAGAAACAGTTGGTCGTGTTATAATTAATTTGTCTACTTTTCCTTTTTTGAGATTATACAAACCTTGTTTACAAGCATGCATTGTCTTACCTACTCCCGCGGGTCCCACTCCAATCACGAGCTTGGGATCGCTTGTTCTTAAAACACGACTATACTGATTCATTAAATACACACATTTTTATATCTTTAAATCTATGGAGTGTATTGAAATAGTATTAGAAGATTTTCAATATTTATATGATTTTATAGATATCGAATACAATGATATAAATCTTTTGAAATCTTTTGATTTATATCCATGTATTTGGGAGTATAATAATATCGTATACTATTTGCTAAAACATTTTCAAAATCAATCGATCTATATTTTCAAAGATCCTTATAAAGATTTCAAAAAATTGAAATATAATTCATTGAAGTTTCAATTGAAAAATGCAATAGATTCTCTTGATAAACATGTGTCGCTCGATATCGTTTTAGATATCCGTATATTTCTATATGTGTTTATGAAATTTGAACTCATTATATGTACTCGCAAACTGTTGTATAAGAATTCGCTATTCAATTTAGATAACAATTCATACGCATTCGAATCAAATCGGATCGATTTTATCAATGGAATTTCAAAGTATTGTATTTCAAATAGACAATTCGCAGAGTTTATTTGTAAAAATGGATACGAGAATCAAAATCTATGGTCACATGATGGATGGAAATTCATTCAGACCAATCGAATTTCAAAGCCATTATACGACATACAAAATGATCAATATCCTATTTTGCATATAAGTTATTACGAAGCCGAAGCATTTGCAATATGGAAAAATTGTAGACTTCCAACGATAAATGAATGGGAAAAATTAGCATCGAATGATTATTCTACTCTATATCCATGGGGTAATGACGTTCTTTCAAACAATAAACAGTTATACCCAGTCGATTATATAACAAATCAAAATCAAAATGGCATTGTTGGACTTGTAGGGAACTGTTGGGAATGGACACAATCTTCAAGCGATACTAGCAATGTCAAAGGAGGATCTTGGATAACACCGCTTATTCTATGTCATTACAAATATAACAATATACAACACAAGTCTACTAGAATACACTTTATCGGTTTTAGGTTAGTTCAAAATTGATGTTATCGGGATGAAATATAATCTCTATCATTTTCTTTTTACGAAGTAATCTGTATAATCGGATATATTTCAAATGCACTTCTTCATCGGTATCTAATAAAACATCACATATTTTGAATTTTAATCGAGAAGCAAACGTGCATGTTATCATTATGTCAAAACTAAAAACAAATTTATATACTTTGTCTAATTCATATTCTATTTGCAATTTTTGATTTTTAAAAAGAAAACTGATTAAGTGTACATTTGATACATCTTCAAAAAAGTCTTTTAGATAAATGATTGTATTGATCGTATTATGATCACGTAAATCCATAACGACATATGTACTTGTAATATTTACAAGCTTACCAAAACCGATGTACCAAATTCTTTTACCATTTTCGTAAATATCATATAACTCTGTTTCGTGATTTCTCACATAATATAATTTATCATCATATAACATCTCTTGTATATCTTTAACCGTGTAAGATAAGTTCATTTATCTTCGTTTTATACTTTTACTTTTAGATTTCTTTGCCTTCTTTGACACGATCGGTCTTCCTTTTGCATACATTGATAAGAGTCGATTTAGATTCGTTGTATTCATAGGTACTCCGGATCGTGATCTCATCACTGTACGCTGTATCTTTTTAGTTTTCATTATAAAGCATATATGCAAGATTCTATGAATTAAAATAATACTAAATATAATCAATTCGGTTCAGCATCGGAATCGAAACTATCATCTGACATAAATGCATAATCGTCAAGAACGTCATTTGGATATGCTCTAATTTGTATGATTTTCCATGAGACTCCAAACTCCTTTGCGATGAAATATAATCCACTGCATTCCAAAAGTAATTCAACATGACAGTTTTCCTTTAGATTATCCATAGATATAGTATTACCATGTTCATCATAGATGTTTCCTTCAAATCTGCCATTTGTTGTCGGTAATCTTGTTCTGAATAATGAATTTTTCAAACAGGGATTGTATAATGCTTTAACGGTTTCAATATCCAATTCTTTACCGAACCAGATTTCTGAGTTTTCTCTCGCTTTTTTTATAATAAAATGATCCAGATTTTGCAAGAAATATTTGAAATCTTTATTTTCCAAATGTGTATGAATACTGTATCTTTTACAATCACTTGTATAATCTTCTATTCCAAATGGCATTTTTGATCTTGGAGTCGTCATATATATTCGTCGTTGCCCATTTTTTATATAAATGGTTCTACCACCCGATGCATTCATTTTAGCTTCACTGAATATTAAATTGTGCATAACAATGTCATTCGGTTTTTGAATCCACATATGTATATTGAATAAATTATTTATTATCTTTATATAAATGAATAACAATAATATAGGACAATATTGGGGTTCGCAACAACATTCTCAAATTAAAAAAGTAACACAAAAAGAATACCTTTTCATCGATAGTCGATATGTTACTCATCAAATTTCGGGAAATGTCGACTTCATCGTCCAATTCAATACCAATACACCGAATCAATCTTCGTTTCCGGTGTTTCGTAACGTGGCATCTGTAGAACTTAAAGGAATATCGGGAGACTTTACAAACGAACACTATATCATCTTAGATATACCTGAATTGAATAATCGAGTTAAATCAAATGTACCCGCTGTAAATCAATGTTTTTGTACAATTTTATGCGAAGACAACAAACGATATATAAAAGGTAGTGATTTTGATCACAAGATCGTTCATTTTAACCCTCCATTGTCACAATTGTCACAATTACATATAAAATTGAAATCCGCTGATGGAAGAACTAGCAATAATAATAATAGAATTCAAGATACCGGATTCGTTACATTGATATTTGAAGTCACAACGATTCACAATACGATTTATTAGAGTAATCAATCAAGTTTGTAGAACATACATGTCCAAAAAAAAATAACGTGTATAAAACATCCATAGAATCGATATTGTTCATAATTAAATTACACTATATATATTCAAATCTTGTAAAATATCAAAACCTATATCTGTATTTTCATACCAAACAATTTCTAAATATATTGATTATATGCTTAGTCTTCAATATCTTCGTATTCTTCTTCAAATTCATCATCGTCGAAACAGAAT